AAAAATGATCTCAAGTATCCTATGCATGGATTCATCTCCATGACGATATCAAATTGGTAATCTTGGATCCAACAACTACTCTAGCTTTCACTTAAACTTTCACTAAACCATAAAATTACTAAACTTAATCGATTACTGAGCTCCACGATGTGGAACGATTAAGCCTCTAAGTTAAACCAAGTTGGCATGTGGTGTTCCCCATCAAATCTCTCCTTTAGCACATGGATTGCAATATTCAAAAAAATTGCTCGTCTCCACACAAGTGGGAAGCAACAAAGCCAACTTTGATGTGTCCAAAACAAAGCCAAGGATTAAGCACTAATCAACATTAGTTAAGCCGCGTGAAATGGGTCTAATCGGTTCCGGGTTTATTGCTAATTGAGCACCCTTTTATAAGCTAATAAGTCCCAACCATAGTCCAATGAGACCTTGCTGGCATCTTTGGATGTACTTCTCCATCGCGTACGTAATTTAATCATGGTACGACTCACATGTGCATAAATATATTCTTTGGCATCAAGAGATCGAGTGCTGTTTTTTTATAATCAATTTTTAAATTTTTATTTTATTAATTTGCTATATAGTTTAATTCCATCAAACCCATGAGTGCTTCCACAGCCTACAATTGGTCAACCTCTAATTTCACTATTCCTAGATCCTTTACAACTAGCATTGCGACGATTTATTTAATTTCCTCTTAATTAAGAAATTAATTTTTGAAAAAAAAAAGCAGTTTCATATAATAGATGGGAATATTGTGGCCGATACTGTCAAGCGATAACAACCGACAATTTGTTTTTTTTATTAAAGGGATATGTCTATATCTATCTGTCTATTTTAAGATAAGAGTGAGCATTTTTAAATTTTCTATTTGGACAATATGCACATATTATTTGATGTTAAATGTAATCTAGCTTTCAAGAGAAAAAAAAAAAAGCAAAATTAGCCAAAGAAAAAAGTTATTATCCGCTTTACCCTAAACCCTACTCTCGGCGAAATTTCTTAATTGTCCATACAGTACGACAATCAAGTCCATCCTCATCTCGTTTTCTTTTTCTAAATTTTACTTTTAGTAATGGAAGAATAGCAAAAGGTTATAAAAGAATGAAAAGAAATCGCGCACACGCACAGTGCCCAAGTTAGTTTATATTATTATCAGGCCAAAATCATCGTCGTTTGTCTCGATGTAAACTTTTCAAAATCGCCCTTGCGATATATAAGACCTGCTCATGAAGTGACAAGGCACTTTTCGTAATGCATAACCGCCCCGGTTACGTACTTTCCATTTATGCATAATCATCCTACTACGCACACGCGCTTGGTGCATGCCTCAACCCTAATCGGACCAAAGCAAAAATACATACTACCCATTTGTTAATTACATGCGCTTTTATCATTTCGTTCAAGACAATTACTTTTTAGTGTAGAAAGTAAGTAATGAATTTCAATTTTTAAATGGAGGCCGTGAATCATTTCACCATGTACATATCAATAAAATGGAATTTGAATTGTAAAAGTGAGTAGTACATTTTATCAATTGCATCAACTTAGAAGTGATCAACTTTATCATCCATTTTACAACCCCCCCAAAAAAAAGAAAAAAGAGGGACTTGGCCTTCAATATTGGACCAATAATTGGCCCCTTCTATACCAAAAGAAGGAGCTCCATCCATGAAGAAATTAATTAATAATTATTTTTTAAAAAATAATAAAAAACGAGGAAAACCGACAAATAAAAGGGATCAACAAGGAAAAAAGTACGGAAGGAACAGAGTGGTCCCCCACACGGTCGATGCTGACATGGATCTCCTAGGAGGGGCGGGGAAGGGGGGGGCAGAGATGTCATTTCGCCGCAAGAGGGCACCCCCTTCTTTCCGAGTTTCGGCCGTGTTACTTCGCTTCAGATTCCGCAAAGAGCCAATAGCAGATCGAAACGTGGCGGCAGCACGGTACAGCATTGGAGATTCGAGGATTTGTCACCTTTGATTTACCATTTATGCCCCTCGATCACCAAATTTCGTCATGCCAAGGTGACAAAAAGAGCTACCCGATAACCGGGAGTCTGTCTTGGATTCTTAGTGGTAGTTACCGATGGTACCTCACCATAGCAAGGAAATAGGCTTTACGACTAGGGCCGGTCCATCTGTCCAGATGTATATACCTGAAAAGTTGATAAGATTGCGTTTATTATTTTAATGAGCCACTGCCCGCATGCCCAATTCCCAATTGAAGAGAAAGTTTTTCTTCCCTCTTCCCAGAAAATACTCTCGAAATTATACATTCCAAAATTCAAACAAAGCGGTTTAAGAACATACTTAGGTCCAAGCAAGATGTTTTTTTGGACGGCTCTAATCTATAAGGCTTGAGATTCATTGAGATAGAGTCAAAAGGGGGTGTAATTAAACTTAATGGGGATTTGGCTAAATAGCTAAGTGGGTAATTTGGGCGCCCGCATCAAGCTCAAGATTCAAGTCGTAACGCCTCCGACTTGGGAGAAGATACTCATCACGTGGCGGTGCTGACATGGCATGACCCATTAGTTGCCATTTGCCTGCATGTTATAAATTCCGTACTACTTACTATATCGAGCGTCACTATCATCTATCATGTGGCGTGAACGTCGTCGCAAAAATACGTTTTCCCCTTGAGAGGCTGCATTTGTTACAATCTAAATGGAGCCTCTCTTTTTTTCCCACGTGAACGGATAAGACGGTTCATAGGTAAGCAAGTAAAATACTTGCATTGGCGATGCAAACACACACAATTGTGCTCCTCAATTGCGAGCTTGATCTTTTACTCAATTGAAAAAGAAAAGTGAATTCTTTCTCGAAACAAGCCGAAAAACTTTACATGTTCCAATTTGATGATAGAAAAGCCTCGAATTAATCTAATTGCATAATTTTTACTCTCATGCTTATAGTAAGAATTCGAACCTATGTAGTCTCTGTTTGATTATCTATCCAAAATTTCACATTTTATATATAAAAAGGAGTGCTAATTCCAAAGAAAAAAAAAGCACTAAATTTACCCTGAATGATAATTTTGGCCCGAACTTTTTTTGACTCAATAAAAAGCATCGACTTTTACTTTAATCCTAAATCCGGCCCCTCTGATGTGAAAATTTCAAATTGTTGGAGTCAGATTTGGAATTTAAATAAAAGTTGATAATTTTTAATGAGACAGAGAAAAATTTCGAGCCAAAATTGCAACTCAATGTGAAGTAGGTGCTTCTTAGGGATCGAGAAGATAATTGCGTGAAGCCGAGCACACATAGTTAGGGAGTAAGAGGTGCATTTCTGACGTTGCTGTATTTATTATGAAGCAAATATAGCTCATTTTTCCTAAAATCCTCATGCAATAAATGGTTTGCCCAGTGCCCACGATACATCCTGCAATTGGCTTACCAAGAATCTTCCGACATTTAAAGAGAAATTCCGTAATCGCACCGCACATATTCTTAACGGCCTTTTAATTTTCAGAATCCCACTAATGAATGTGCCGAGAATACTTGTTAATGCTACCGACGGAAGAAAAATTCATATTTTCAAAAACGTCGAGAATAATTAAAAATCCATCGATTTCTTTCGCCCGAGAAAACGAAAGCACAAGAAAAAATTACATATTTTACATGCGTCTGTTTTTTTTTTTTTGGGTTTCTCTTTTTTTATACTATATTTTTGGCATTTCCTTTGTGATTAATTGCGCTTAAATATGATGAGCCTCTCAGATCAGGCAAGGAATCCACTGCTGGGAATTACCCTGAATATCCCCCAAAAATGGTAATTTCAAATCTTAAAATCACAATTAGCATTTAATGCCCCCCAAAAGATTTAATAATTCAGATTCTGCACAGATTTTCTTCAGAATATTTAACAGGCCCCAAGTTTTCTTTGCCAGTTGAGCACACTTGTGTCTGTGTCACCATCCCATGCAATCTCCCCATCACTCTTGCAGCATTAATTTATAAACTCCATGCTTAACTCATCAGCTTGAAAACAAGAGAAAAAAGAAAAGAAAAACTCATCAAAATGGGGAAAAAAAAGTAAAAAGAAATACTTTTTTCATATGAGTTAATACCACAAAAGACCCAAACTGATACACATGTAACAAATTTACTAAAACTAACCTTTTAACCACAAAAAAATCTCAAATTAATATATTTGTGACAAATCAACTTTCTGTTATTTTTTGTTAAATTGGATTAATTTCATGAAAAATTACAAACTGGTACACCTGTGACAAACGGTAGCTATCATATGTCATTTAACTCAATAATTTAACAGTAAAATTTAACGGAAATTAACGAAGGATAAATTTATCATAGGTAAATTAGTTTGTGATTTTTCGTGATATTAAACTTTTTTATATTGATTGAAAAAAACACATATAATTATTGTTATATCCCATTGTTTGATCAAGAGGAAGCAGAGACAACCTCAGCCCAATAATTGTACTTCCTCGTATACCGACATCAATAATGTAAAATTTTAGTTTTAAGTACATTGACTGATGCTCGCGTCATCCTGGTGATCATCATGGTCAAGAAAATTTTTATATATCAATGTCTGTCATATTTTATATTGCAGGAGCAAGTTATATATGCATATTTCTCTCTCCCCCTCTCCGGTTCATGTTCCAACCAGCACATCAGAGAGAAAAAGGCAAGAAATTTATAAGGAAAACTGATAAATATGATGTTGGTCAGATGAATGTGGAAAGAAGAAGCAGCAAGTGCTGTGTTTTTCCAGAGGAATCAACCAAAACGGGGATGCAGGGGAGGTCAATGACATGAGCAAACTGAGCAGCAAAGCAGAAGTCTTGTGCGACTGTGGGAGCATGATTGTGCCACAGCGTCGGCCTTTTTCTGGGGTTCTGCACTGGGTTTCTTGATTAGTTCTTCCGTGGTAAAGGCGCCATTTTTATCTTCCTTTCGAGGAGGGGAAAAGGGTTTGATATTCGCGGCAGAGCGGAGAGAGAAGCCACGCCGATCAGAGGGTGGGGGGGGAAGCAGGGGAGAGAGAGAGAGAAAGGGTGAAGCTTTATTAAATTCTTTTCTTTTTTTCAAGAAAAGAGAAATGCCCCTTCAATAATTACGCACGGAATTAAAATATTGCGGCAACGGCCAATAGATTTCCGTGTAATTGGGCACAAAAAATTTCCACTTTCTCTCTTCTCCAGCAATGCTCTGCCCATCTCACCATCATTGACTCATTCCCCTCCCCCCTCTCTCTCTCTCTAGCGTCCCTCTTCTCTCTCTTCTGGTGCCAATTTGGCTTCTGGGTTTTGGGGGAAAGCCTCCAGAGAGGTTCTCCTGCGGTCAAATTTCGAGACTTTGCTCAAGCTTGATTCTCTGTCCTGTTCTCGCTCTCTCTCTCTCTCCTCTTTGAGATCGTTTTTTGCCTTCTTCGAGGCACTGTAATTGGGCCTCTCTTTGGAGAGGGGGATTGGGATTCTGGGCGCTCAAATTGTTTTCCAGTGTCTTCTTTGTGTGTTCTGAGTGTGTGTTGATTCACTATGACGGTGGAAGATGGAGGGAATGACCGGTTTCCGGTGGGCATGCGAGTGCTTGCCGTTGATGACGACCCAACTTGCCTGAAAGTGCTGGAGAATCTGCTCAGAAGCTGCCAATACCAGGGTGAGATCTCTCTCTCTCTCTCTCTCTCTCTCTCTCTCTCTCTCTCTCTCTCTCTCTCTCTCTCTCTATCTCTGTGTTTCTTTTAGGTGCTTTGGTTTTTGGTAGTTAATTGACTTTCATATTGTGAGATGGGTTCATCATCATCATCATCATCATCATCTTTCGAATTAAATTTGTCGATTTTCTATGCTTTTTTAAAAAAAATTGATGAGACTCGCCAGATGTCAGAACCTCGTGTGTGTTTTGGAACCGTTAATTGGGAGTTATACAATGTGTCAAGTTAATCTGATCAGGCTCTTTGAGCCTAATATCTAGTTGCATAACCATGGCCGACATGTTTTCCTCTCTCGTAGAATTAGTGCTGATTTGCAGACTAACTGTTGGTTTCTCTGGATTGTCATTTCATCGGTTTTCTTCTTCTGACTGAGTCGAAAAACCGAGTTCATTTTTAACCATTTTGGCTGCTGGTTTTCACAGTTACCACTGCAAATCAGGCAATCGTGGCCTTGAAAATGTTAAGGGAGAACAGGGACAAGTTCGACCTGGTTATCAGTGATGTGAACATGCCTGACATGGATGGTTTCAAGCTACTGGAACTCGTGGGGCTTGAAATGGATTTGCCTGTGATCAGTAAGTTCATACTCGATTCTCTTTTGACGACTCAAAGTTCTTGTTTTTTTTATTGAGTTAGCTGAATGTTTGAATATGATTCAATGCAAAGTCTCTAGCTTGGCTTTGTTCAACTGTTATTTGTTGCAATTTTTATCAGCTGACTGCATTTTTATTGTTTTTTGCGATATCACAATGTGCGGAAATCATGAGATTTGACCAAAGTTTAACATTGGTTTCCCTTCTTGTTGGCTCCAGTGTTGTCAGCTTATGGCGATCCCAAGCTTGTGATGAAGGGGATAACTCATGGTGCTTGTGACTATCTGTTGAAACCGGTTAGAATGGAAGAGCTCAAGAACATATGGCAACATGTTATCAGGAGAAAGAAGTCTACCTCAAAGAACCAAAGTCAGTTGCCAAATCAAGACAAGGGTAATGGTGAATCTGGACCGGGCGCGCAAGGAGCGATAACAATTGCAAATCCAGATGGGAAACTCAACAAGAGAAGAAAGGATCAAAATGAAGAAGAAGAAGAAGAAGAAGATGGTGAAGACAATGAGAATGAGAATGACGATCCCTCGACCCAAAAGAAGCCTCGAGTTGTTTGGTCTGTGGATCTGCATAGGAAATTTGTTACAGCTGTAAATCAGCTCGGCCTTGAAAGTGAGCTTTTTATTTTTTGACCAAGATGGGGTGAATTTCATTTCTTCAGTAAACCTCTAACAGGCTTTTCAAATATCACTTTTAATGCAGAGGCTGTTCCAAAAAAGATCCTAGACCTGATGAATGTTGAAGGGCTTACGAGGGAGAATGTGGCGAGCCATCTGCAGGTTTTGATTTTTTTCCTTACATTTACATCCCTGCATATTATTTAGCTTCTACAGCAACCTTTTGCCTGCACAGCAGCTAATTTGTGCCTCAAACATTATATTTACATGTACGCAGTTTTAGGAAGAGTGGACATTATTTGGAGTTCCCAGAAGCCAGGAAAACATTGTGTTCCAAATGTCGGAACATGTGTTGCTCCTTACTTTTTCAAAACAAAGAAAAATATGTTAGAATCTCAAATGTCATATCTTACGTAGGAGCTTTAAATCCATAAACTCTGATTAGGTCATGTATGGCATTTTTATGTTGATAGTAACTAGAATTGGTTTATTGGCTTCTATATTTTAATGGTTCTCGCTAATGATACGTGCCTGCTAATGTGGATTATTTGAGTTTATGTTGCATGGCTCACATAGTATTAGATTAGATGCAGTGAAGGACAACATCGTAGCCTTATTCTGGAACTGTCAGTTAGACGGCTAGAACTAGAAGGTGATTTGGTTATTACTCTGCAGAAATACAGGCTTTACTTGAAAAGAATCAGCAATGTTGCGAGCCAGCAAGCAAACATAGTTGCTGCATTTGGGGCGAAAGATCCATCCTACATGCGCATGACTGCACTGAATGGTTTTGGAGACTTTCGAACATTGGCTGGGCCAGGAAGATTTTCTGGTACTTCTTTGTATCCACAGGGCATAATGCTAGGCAGACTAAACTCGCCTGCTGGTTTAGGCTTGCAAGGGATTGCAAATTCGGGGCCAATTCAGCCAAGTCTTTTGCAGAATGTCAGCAAATCAATCAACTCTCTTGGAAAGCTCCAGCCCAATCCATCACCTGCGAGCCAAAATACAAGCTTGCTTCAGCCAAATCATGGCAAGCCAGGTCCTCATATAAGAGACATCGCTAAATTCGACAATCCCACAGCCCTTAAAGTTTCCCCCATCAGAGATAACCGGGTGACGGCCAGCAGTTCTAGCAACCCTAGCCATGGCATCCCTAGCAGCCATTTGCTCTTACAAGGAAACCCACAGCAAACTCGTGGTGGGGATGAATTCGGAATACAATCTTCCTTTGGAGCAGTTTCTTTGCAATCAGAAACCCTGAACGTTGGCGCTGTTGGTGGATGTAACTTTATCGATAAAAGTAGATGCAATGAAAATTGGCACGGTGCAGTTCAGTTACCCCAGCTTCCTTCAGCAAATCCTACTCCATTGACAGTGCCCTTTAACTGCAGTCCGGTGACTCCCACGAATATGACTGAGAAGTTCACTTTGCCCACTCCTTTTGTCCATAACAGCCCAAATAATATCTCTACTAGTCCCGTTCCATCAGCTCTAGGAGAGTCTAGAGGAGACATGCAATGTCAAGCTGGGCTACTGGGAAATGTTATTCAAAATGTGGACTTCACATCTTCAAAATCAAGATGGGAAGATCATAACCAAAATTACCAACACCATTTCAATCATGGTTTTGGTACTTTTGACTCTGTGGTAGTACCAGCCAATGGTGACATGGATTCTTTGATCCAGAATATGGGATCGGCAAGTTCATTGCGAAGTGGAAGTGTGGATGCTCCTTTTGCTGTCCAATCAAATTCTGGCAATGCACCTCTCTATCAGCAAGCAGAAGTTGGCAAATCAGTATCCATGGAGGCAAACATAAGATCAATTGAAAACTACCTCTTGGGGCAAACGAAGTTTCAGGATGGCTTCATGCCAAATAGTTTCGAGTCCCTTGATGAGCTAATGGATGGAATGATCAAACAGGTAAACAAAGGAATCCTTGTGCGCTTGTATCTGTGATTTGACCCAAAACCTTAGCTTAGTTGGATGATTAGGTAGGAGTTCTAATGAATGGAATTAGCTGGAGCCTTGGATTGGCAAAACTATATTTAATTTTCACATCTGGCTAATCCTTGTTCATGTACGGCCAAGACATCAGTATTGTACTTACCAAAAGAAGTAAAGACGTCAATTTCCTCTTCACCAATATAAAGGAGAAACGGTTCAAGGAAACTTAAGAAAAATAGGATGTAATCCTGTTTGGTCTTTCTTAGCTCATAAGTTCGGATTAAAAAAAAAATAAAATCTGTCATAGACGAGCAATATTTAATCAAAGTGATGAAGCTGTCTCCAATGAGAAATATTAGCTACATGTAGCAGAAATCCTGTTTTTGAGGATTCTTGATACTCCTGAAATGGTCCCACTCTTTGCAGTATTCTTAGTGGCTCTGTCATTACTATGAAAATAAATAGTGGATGTATATGCCAAGATATGCAACTCTGTGTCAGGGTCAATTAAAACAATGTAAAACCATAAATCTCTTTCGGGATACCTTTCTCGAACTTATTATGAATTTCTAAGACCTTTTCATTAACGTGCAGGAGCATAATGAGGCCGTCCTCACAAATGGAGATTTCAGCTTGGGCACCTACTCTATTGGATCATGCATGTGATGCTATTGCTGCCCCATCAAAAAGGGAGATGACCGCAGCACCTCCTCGAGAAGTTTGAGTCCACTTGTAATTTTTCAGTGTTTTCTGTCTAGATTTAATTATCTTCTCCGACTTTGTTGTATGCTTTTAGTATTCTCTAGTTTTAGCACTTATCTTTCTTCCTTTAACTCTGTTGCATTCCTGTTTAGTTAGAAGTTTTTGGCAAATATCTGACAGATTTGTGTTCATATCTATGTTTCTGTCTCCGATCCATTTGCGATAACAATGTTATCACCCAAGTCCTTCTGAGTTATTTCTTCAGGTGCAACCAGTTGTCTACTCAAATTCTGATGTTAATTAAACTGGGGCATGTCACTGAATGGGAAGAGAACCATTTGTGGATCTCCTCTTTTAGTCTGTCCCTTGCTATTGTACTCTTAATTAAACTAGCACATATGCCTCTACTTCGATGATTGGTTCGCCCATATTTTCTTTGGTTGCAATATTGCTACTTGCCATGGCCTTAAATCAGGTTATTCACAGCCAGTCTACTTCAGGTTGATAGTCTAATTCAATTCAATTTATCCGAGAATTTTGTACTTCATCCAATAATCTTCTGCTCAAACAGGAGATTGTCGGAACCAAGAGCTGTACGAAGTCTGCGACTGTGCTATTGGGGCATTACATCCTTTTTGTTCCATGGCTTTAAGAATAATGATTTTTCTCAAAGCCCGACCTTTGGCGAATGGATGTAGATAATGCTAAACACCTAACCTTTGTTGAGTATGAGATAGTTGTACCAAAAAAAAAGAAGGGGAATACATTCCTTGCACTTGACGGAGGGTTGAAGCTAATGTGAAAACGAGAGATCTTTGAGTTGTTTATGCCAAGATAATACACGTCGTGGAAAGTTTTCCAGTCGGCAGAATCAAGGATAACTCTGGAGAGGAGACTTGCCATTGCAACTTGCTGTGAAAGTAGCTTCAGATCAAAGTCTAGATCCCAAAGAAAATACTTGAAATTCCCAATTATTAAATCCTATAGATGCCGAATTTCAACTCTCAAAATTCTCTCTCCCTCTCAATATAAACGTGGGCTACCAAGTGGCCCATCGTTCCTGATTACAAGATCCCTATCATCAGATGCTGCCTTGCAGGGAAGAACATAATGAATTGAGCATCGTGAGATGCTTCTTTTTAGAGAATGCTTAACATGATAATATTAGAAAGACATCTGGTTTTACAATAAAGGAAGATCCTACAAGAGTATGACAAACTTGCACCATCTTTACGGTACACAAATAGACACATACATTATATGTAAAGTGATAGCTTAAGTTTCTCTCTTCTCCCCCTTCTCCAGCACGGTGCCCTCACGTTGGATATTAGCGGAAGGAGGAAAGTGACAATCCTCGACAGTTTTGCTTAATTGCATGTATTGATGCCGCGAGTTGTACAATTCATGAGGTGAAATGAACCAAAAATTAACTTGGTCTTTATTCCCCTTCCCAGCCCATTTGGCGGGCTCGTTTCTCCCACATCAATGTCACCTTTCTCTCCTTTATCAACAATGCCTCCGCACGCTCTCTTGCCTCCTCACAAATTTCTGTGGCAGAGTTGCACTTCTCTGCTTCCCTTTGATACTGGGAAGCCACTCTTTTTGCTTCGGCAAAGGTGATGTTCATATGGCGAATGTGCTCTTCAGCCACGCCTTCTTGCAGCTTTAACTCCTCCGCTAGAAGATCAACAAACTGCTTCTCCATCTCTTGCTTGAGATCAGGGTCGTTACTCCCGCAATCTGCATTTCTCAATATAGAGAAAGCACTTATAGTTTCAGATCCTTAAGTTTCAAATAAAAACCAGATTTGAAATTCTTAAATGCAAAAAGAGACTCAAAGCCACTATTATAACTAGGGGTGTGCAAAAAAACCAGAAACCACTCGGAACCGGACCGGACTAGCCCAGAACCCGCGGTTACCGGTTCCAATTTATTGGAACGGTGAGTACTAGTCCGGTTCCCAATTCCAAGCATGGAACACCCGGACCGAACCGGACCAATATATATATTTAAAAAAAAATGGGAGCATTTATCCTAAAATCACAATATTATTTTGTGTCAAATGATAAGCAAGAGATGGAACCAAATGTCCAAATGGGAGTATTCATCCTAAAATCATAGTATCATTTCGTGTTTGATAAGCAAAGACCCTCATGCAAATTTCTTTATTATTCTTACATTTTCCCTTGCAAAGAAGTACCCACATAAATTTAGGTTCACCATGACATCAATTGATGAATGTAATTTTGTAGAGATTGGGGACCAGTTTCATGGACCTACTCGGGAACTGGATTGGACCGGCGGTCCGGTTCCCGGGTGGATCTATGGAACCAACGGGCGGTTCTCGGCTCCAATTTTTCAAAACCGGTCCTTAGTGGGCGGTTCCCGGTTCCAGGGTAGGAACCACCCACCCGGACCATACTCACCCCTAATTATTACATTATCCCTAGCAAATGAGATGCTTCCTATAGTTCAAGATGTCTCTTTGTGCATATATATATTCAAAACAACCATCATTGACGAATGACGAGGGAAAAGGAACAGGGATCAGCGAAGAAATCTGTTTTGAGCCTAACACTGCTGCAGTCAAGATTATCTTAAATGATTCTCATCTGCAATTAATGGTTATCACCACATCTGACGAGAGGCCTATATTCTGCACATATTGTGAACAAGAAAATCACAATTGGATGGTGACAGAGCAAGATGAGCTTTGCGACATCTTTTTACATGCTAAGTTGCTTTCTCAAACAAATAGCTCCCACAAGAAATTGACTAGCGACTTGTGAAGCTATTTCAATAGTTGTCCAACCCAATGACTAAGAACGAGATCAAATATTCAAGAGTAGATTTGCAATTTGTATGTAAAAAAAGTGTGCGAGAAACCAAAGTTAAATGAGAGTTGGCAGTCTGACCAAAAAGAAAATGAGAGTAGGCAGGATGAGAACTGACCTGTAACAGAGAGGTTTGCCAACCCTGCCAGAGTGACAGAAATATTCAACCAAGAATCAGTACATTAATAACACATTTCCAGCATCTTATCGAACATAGTGATACAGCAATTAACATGAGAGAGAGAGAGAGAGACTAGTCTAAAGGACAAATCAACATAGGCTACTATAAGAGAGAGAATGCGACTTATCACTCGAATGTGACTAATTGCTCAAAGGTACACAGAGAAAGGTTGCGAAGATGAGCATGTATGCTCATATGACCAGATGTGCAAAACCACTCACCCTTCAAAAAAAGCCTTCCATGAAGAAACCATCCTAACAAATTCCATGGCGTTTTTGTTTCAACAGTAGAAATCAAAAGATACTTCTTGACTTTATCAGCAAGACGAGTTATTTCGCTATAAATGGCTTAATGCAAACTTTTATATTTATTAAAGGTTTCAAGTATTGAGTATTGAACAAAGACACATTGCAAATGCTAAAAATAATAGTATAGATAAAAGTTAAAAGCAAAAGTTCTTCCAAACACACCACAATGTCAGAGCCCGATGACTCCTGGTGATAGAAGAAACCAATGGACTTCTATCATCGTAGCTCGAGCTTTCTTTCCCACAGTCAGAAGGAGATAAGGTGCAATTCCATTCAACTAGAAAGCTAGCAAAGAAAAAGTAAGGACGAAGTGAACAAGCCACATCACCATCACTACAATTTGGAAAATAGAATCCTTTTCCGTGTGAAATTAGTAGCCTTCAACACCATTTCACAATGTTATTAGCTAACTGGGTTGAATGAGGAACTCCTTGGAGATTCTTATGAGAACGCATTTCCACATACTCATGGAGAAAATGCAACTTTAGATCACAGGTACAGACGAATGGTTCAGAGGAGATTGTTTATCTTTCCACTTCTCATTACGCCTCACAGTGCTTCAATCAAGGAAATCTTCCCGTTTTCAATCCGAAGTTAGTTCACATTAGTCCCGACAACTCTGCAGTCAATTTACACGCTATCGAGACATGGTGATACAATCAACCTAAGCCTGCAATAGGCTCATACGTCCTAATAATTCTGCTAGACAAGCTCTACAATGGCTCAGATGACATAAGAAAAATTCACCACCATTGACACGAAACCTCCTCATCAAACAGCTGCTACAGTTAGTTCTCTCATCACACCAGAGCCAACTGGTAGGAAGAGAATGTCCGAGCAGATCTCCGCACCTAACAAGAATAGCAAGCTGACAACTACAACCGCACAACAAAACACGGTCCGCATCCCAACATGCGGAACAGCTCAAATTTAGTTTCGTTTCGTTTCATTTCATTTCATTCCCTCTCGTGCGCAGACATCAACCCATCCAAAAAAATCAGACAGAAACGGCAACAATGGACAAAGATCTCATCCCTAAACCCATCAATCACGCCCCCAATCTCCAAGTCCAGCTACTCAAACCCACGAGCACCCAGGAACGCGCATCCGCCAATCACGCCAAAGAATCAACCAATGTCTAACAAAACCAAATCAATCATATCAAAACGCCACGAGAGGGGGGGCAGCGAATCACCGGGAGCAATGTTGAGGAGGGAGAGCGGGGGAGGGCAATCGCAGACGCAGGGAGGGCAAGAGCGGTGGTGCTTGTCGTCGGCGCCGGCGAGCTTGATGCCCTTCTTGAGCTTCCAGTAGAGGGCGGGCCCGCACACGCCCAGGGCCGACACCACCGCGAACACCACCAGGCAGCACCGCAGGCAAGCGCCCGATCTCCTCGTCATGTCCTCCTCCTCCTCCTCCTCCCTTCCTTCCTTCCTTCCTTTCCCCGCCCGCCCGTCGCCTTTCGCGCTCAGCGCATCCACCACCGCCGCCCTCTCTCTTTCTCTCTCTCTTCTTCCACCTCCCCTATCGCGCAGGAACAGCAGCTGAAGGAGAGATCTTTGGCTATGGCGAGCGTTTGCAGAGACGGGTTCTGAAATCTGAATCTACCTCTCTCCCTCTCTCCTTCCTCGTCCTCCATGTGAAAAATGTGAATTTTTTTTTCTTTTATAAATTCTGATATTCTTCCATGATCACTCTCAGTCTCAGTCAAAGCAGTTATTTTTTCCAATTGCAAAAACGCGTGGCCCGTGGCAAAATTGCAAAATATTTAGTAGATATATATGTACGTGCCAGCAGTTATATTTATTTTTGTGAAAAATACATCAAAAATCCTGAACCATTCCTGTTGTAACATATTTATTGTGAATTTTTTTTGCGACACTAAAAATCCCGAATTATGTCTACCATGACACGTTTATTTTAACCTTTTTTTTTACATTAAAGCCCCTGAACCATTTACCACCCGTCAAGATTTTGTCGGATGATTTTTCAGCCAAAATAACGTTATCACATGAGTGCCATGTCAATAAGATATACTTTCTTGTGTCCATCTAAATCTATCAAATGTGTCACATGGACAGAATAAAATTAAAGGTAAATGTGAGACAGTGGACATAATTTTTTATTGGTTTTTTCCCTTTATGTTTTTATAAGAATTTTTGAATAGATCACTTTTCTTTCATTCGTCGGTGAAAAAAAAGAAGATAATGAGTGATTTTCGCTCGGACCTATTGGGTACAAGGAAATAGGACGAGAATATAAGTATGATGTTACATGTAGGGGTCACGGCTCAGTTGTTTGGGAACAATATGGTGACTTAAGCTTCCTTGGATTGAGGCCACTAGGAGAGAATACTTTATAGTTGGATAGATACAAATGAGAAGGATGATACATTTATATAGTAGATGGCCTCAGATTACATCCGTTGGTCGACTCTTGAACGAGTGGCTAGGATCACATCTTTTCATTCACCAACTACCGGCATTTATGCCGAGAACTCTCTTAAACACGTTACAATTACCATCTCGCCTGTCCTTGGGAATGTCCCAGAAGCTTCATTAGGGATTGGAGTCTTAGTCGATGTTGCATGGTTCTTGGCACATGAAAACCTCGCGATCGTGACATAGAATCGGGAATCGCACCGGACCATGGAACTGTCCACTTTTTTATTTTTTTCCCACCACAATGAGAGAGCGACAAATCTTGACATATTGATGGAAGCGACCATGAGTGAAGAATCATTGTGATACGACGACAAGGGAAAAGCATTGTACGTGGTCTTAGTCTACATTTTACTAATTTTTTTGAAAAAAAAAAAAAAAAAAAGTATATGTAGCCGGTCCAAATTGATTTTCACTTAGAACTGGGAAACAGGAATCGGACCGTTCGGACACCGGTTCCACTTTTAGGAACCGGAAATCGGACCGACACTCCCAGGAACTGGACCAAACCGGCCAGTCCGGACGGTTCTTGATCCGGGCGATCCGTTTTACACACACCTAATTACATGTACATCGAGCGGCGACTTGCGTGTTTCTAATGTCGTTGGACTTCAAGCTCGAGTCGAATTCCAAGTCGAATCGGGTTTTCGCTTCGAGCCATGAATGATAAACCCATCATAACGTAAATGTGAATGCTGGCTTAACTGATCACGATCATTCCTCACTCTGTTAGTGTATCCTTCTCCTTCTCAATAAGCGATCGGACATTAGCAACCTTTCAGCCATTTTCCATTTCAGGGGGCGGCCAACTTTGCTTACCTGCTCTACACCATGCGTACAAGCTCGGGCGCAATGACTTCCATTTGACTCCTCTCGGACAGCCTGGAGAACGTACCGTTCTACAGATAAGTGCACGCGCTCGTGCACACGCAGGCACCGTCTTCTATGCAGATCGAGAAAGCCGAAATGAACGCAGTTCAGCCATTCACATTTATTTAAGTTCAATCTATAGAAACTCCGGAATTAGAAGAGCGAGAATACAGAAGTAGTGTAATTGAGCTCTTCAGGGTCTGAACGTGGCATGCTTTGGAACCATCGTTTGCTCATCATGATCTAAGGTCGGCGTAATATTCGTCAATCCAGCTGTGGATGATGTCCACTTCCTGCCTCCTCTGCTGAACAAGCCAGTCGGGATCGTCTTTAGTTGCAGACCGAAAATCGACATGGTGGGCTCCTGAACATTGCATATCATCGATGGTAGGCAGTTCAGTGTTACCATGCGGTAAACAGAAAAGGTAAGGACGAAATGAATATAACAACAGTAGAAAAGAACTGGTACCTTCTTCAGTGACAAGAGCAACAATGCTAGCAGATATGTTTTTGAGCACGCTGCGAAGTAAGTGGAAGTTTGACACCGGTTAGATTAGTACGAACTGAACCGGTTGAAACTAATGCATCAAACACAATGTTCAGATAGTTTTCAGATGATCCAACAAAATCAGCTCTAAATATAATTGTGCTTTACATCATTAATGAGGTCACTCCAATCGTGCTTTGAGTTTGTCTCGTGTGTCTGAAAAAGTTCGTGAGGGGCCAAAAGTTGTGATGCACAATATCATCCCTAAAAGCCATTACAAAGTAACCCGCAAATTTGTCAGTCTCAGAACCTAAATGTAGGTGCTTGCCTGATTCGTGAGAATAATGTCCGCACAACAATGTGTGCGCATGATCATTGAGGTAGTATCATACTCGTGAGTGAGATTGTTAACATCTCATGATGATACAAACAGTAGGTGTGTTAAAAATGATATCATGGACAAGAAAACAGTATAAAAGCAGCACTCAAAAGAGAAGGAGAAGAAAAAAGAAGTGATTACCCTCCTCTGCTCCAAGGATCTTGCATCCCATTAGAGAATATGATGTTGCTGCCAAATCTCTTAAGCATTAACTCGATTCGCTGAAGAAAAAAGAACATAGTAAAGATGATATTTTTTAGCCTTTTAATGGAATGGCACTTTATGTTCGAAGCATGTAACTGACTAGACTATTTGACTCACTTTGCCACCAAATTCAGTTGTGATCCAATGTGGCCGAGGTGTGACTCCATACTTCTGCCTGCACTGTTCCGCGAATGCATCGTAATTAAAGGAATATGGAGTAAACATGCTCTCGTTAGAGCAACTCAGGGGCATGACCATCTCCGTGCAAGCCTGCACAATTACTTTAAAGGGATTAGATCAAGTCGGGACATATCTCGTGATCAACCGCTGGTACTTGATCGGTTTAATCTAATTCAGTTGCTGTATTCTACAGATAGTAGAAACAAGATTGTTGTCGGGTTTAAGTTGAGAGGAGACTCTAACCTGCCAATCCCAACCATGCAGGCCATGAGAATCGGATCCGTGTTCGATGTTAAAGCAGTTTTCAGTTTGTGAATAATTATAGTATAAACTTGCAGCGGCAAAAGCCTTGCTTAGCTTCGTCTCTCCAGGAGGAAGTGCGTCAATAATCTTGCACATCTTCGATGAAAACAATGGGAAAGAAAAAAAAAATTAGAACAAGGACATCCCACATTAGAGGCTTCACCAGATTTGATTCGGTTAGACAAGTGCATTTAGATCGTACCTCCTTCACAGGATAGGCAGGTAAATGCATCATGAAATTGGCTTCAGTTGGATAGTTCACCATTGCGGTGTAGACGAAAGCAGACCATAGCCAGTCTTGAGCTGCATCTACTGAGTGGAGGCCTCTGAAGGTAAAAAAAAATCAAAAGGATAGGAATTTCGAAGCTATGAATATCTTAAAGCAGATTAATAGGTCGTGATACGATAGTACATGCTAGTTGTGTTTTAATTTGGAAGCATACTCACAATTAAAAGGTAAAAAGAAAGTGCTTCCCTTCAATTTCCTGTATGACACTTGATTCTTAATTATTTTAGCCCAACCCACTAAGTAGAATAAGGCTTTTGTTATAGTTGTCGCCGTCGTTGTATGTTGTTTTAAGGGTTTTAACTTGCACTAGTGCGGTAAGTTCAACACACTCACTGTTAAGAGCTCTAGACTTTCCCTGTATCGATAAAAAGTGAATGGAGAAAAGGCTTACTTGCAAGATTTGAAGTTTTTGCTTAGTTCCGCCAAACCTTGCCTTTGAGATGACAAGGCCTCTAGCTCTGCCCAACTTCCCTTGATCACTTGAAAGCAATTCAAGCTCACAGACTACACATGAAATTGCAATTAACAAACACCAAGATGAACAAAAAGAAACAACTTTATAAACACATGCACACGGCAGAGAATTGCGAGGAGAGACGAGACCACCTTAAAATCCTGGGAAACACCATCATAGAAGCCTGTTTGTGGAGTGATGTCATCAAAATACAAGATAGGGGCTGAAGAAGCCAGGGCTCCAATTGCAATATGAGGGTACTTCAGTCTGAACCAGGCTGCTAGCACTGGAGAAGAAGTAACATCTCTTAGTAAATAAGCACATCAGCCTTTTCTTTGAGGGTGGCTATCATCACAATCTCATAAAATGCGGATAACCTTAAAATATACAAAGCGCATTAATAGCTCATCATTCTAAAAGACCCTCCCATTCATTTATTGCAAAAAAAAAGGGATTCATTTATTGCTAGTTCTTGAAAGAAATGGAGCAATATTTGGCACTTTTAATTATGGTTGTACCATTCATGCTGTTTCATCAGACATCAAGAACCAAAAACCCATTCCTAAAAGAGATCATTGAGGGAAAAAAGAAGGAAAACGAGTTCAAAATCAGATAGCTTACTTCCTCCATAGGAACCCCCAAACACAACGACAGGGGAAGCTTCAGAAGACAGATTCTGCTTCAAGCTCCTTATGAGAACGGCATAGTCAGCTAAAGCTTGCTGTGAATCTAAGTACCCCACCGTCTCTGCAGAATTATAAGAGTCTTTCCCAAATGGCATTGACTCTCCATAGAATCTATGCTGAAAAAATACGAGAAACAAACCCATCAGCCAAAAGTCCCAAAAGCCCAAAAAAAAGAAGAAAACTATGGCTTGGATTAGCTCATTGACAGTCGCTTCTTGTGAAATCATATCCTAACATTCCAAAGCTTTTCTCGGAAACCCAAATGCATATTTAATCTTTTCAAGAGCACTAAGATACCCTTTTGCGGTATGCTTCATGAGATAGCATAAAGGTGCAATTTTTATCCCCTTTTTTTTCCAGCTTAGTAGACTCTCGGGGGCTCTAAAAGTAAAGAAGCATTGAAAAATTACTTCGATGAAAACCAGGAGAGCTCGGAACTTGGGGGCAATGTCCAGTAAAAATCCAGTGTTAGCAGCGAACCACTCAATGTTGCCTTCATTCCCTGTGTAAACAAAGATTGGACCTCCATGGTGCCAAAACTGACTGTTGATGAGATACTTTTGGTAGAATATTTTGTAGCTCCGGGGTTTGTATGTGAAGTGGTCAAGAATCTGTGGGAAAAACTGGGTCTTGTAGGGAATTTTTGTCTCAGGGGTCTCGTTTTGTTCCAGTGCAGAAGATTGATAGGTTGCTCTGGGGAAGAAAACTGGTGGTGATTGTGAAGCTAGTGTTGCAGGGAGAGTGAAGAGCAGGAGAGAGAGAAGAGAGAGGAACAATGGGATCAGCACCATCATCATCATCATCATCATCATCTTGTTTCTGTCGAGTATCTTGGGTTGCCGCTCCAGGATTCCTTGATTTTTTATTATGTGTGAGTGAACAAGCCAGCCGTCCTTTTCATTTCCAGTTAGCCAGAAGGATTGGAATCTCTTGAAAAGGAAGTCCCGATTTTCCTTTTACAAATTATGACATGTTGTCATAGTAGCATGCCAATGAGATAAAAGACACAAACAATTCTTAAACTTTAACCTAATATATAATGTAGTCATTGAACTTTTAGTTAATTCAGTGGAGTCCCGAACTTTAGCCTAATATAGTAAATGTTCAATAAGGTCTTTGAACTATATTAAAATGATGAATGTAGTTACTGAACAAGAATTAATAGAAAATTATATTGAACATTTTATATAATTCAGGGACTAAATTGAACATGCACCAAAAGTTCGGGGACGACAATGAACAAATTAAAAGTTTAGGGATCACATTACACATTGAGTTAAAGTTCATGAACTACATTGAATAAATTAAAAGTTTATGGATCATATTAAACATTGCACTAAAGTTAAGGGATTATTTGTGTCATTTTCTTTATAATTAATTATCAATTATTTTTTCTAACATGACTGATGACTTCAACTTCAGGCACCGACTCTGCAGAAATGGAATAATGCTGGCACAAGCGCGGCAATGCGAATGGGCCAACGTAATGCAGAAATGGAATCATCACATGAAAATCTCTTTTCAGACAATAAGGGTGCGCATGGAATGTATTCCAGAATAAAAATTTTGTTCCGGAATGCATTCCGGAATAGAATGATGTTTGTTAAAAAATTTCCGGAATGCATTCGGGAGCGATTTTTACATTCTGGAATAAAAATGCGTTTGTTAAAAATACTTGATTCCAGAATGCATTCTTGATTCCAGAATGCATTTTTGATTCGGAATGAGTTTTGGCAAGAAAAGAGAAGCTACTTTTTGTAGCTTCGATTCGTTCATTCTTATATTTTCTCACAAATTTTTTTTTCAGAAAATGCATAAAAATTGAAAAATTCTAGAAAAATTCATAAAAATTTCAGGAAAATAAAAAAAAGTCAAATTTGGAAAATATGAAATTTGGTGAATTTTTTAAAAATAAAAAAATAAAAAATTTCAAAACTTCGAGATAGCTTAAAATACGTGTGCCACCCATTTTTGAGTGAAATTTAAATTTTTGAGGTGCCCAAAAAAATCAAAAATTTCAAAACTTCACAAAATGGCTTAAAATACCCATGCCACCTTTTTGGGTGAAATTTAAATTTTTGAGGTGCTAAAAAAAAAGAAAAATAATAATAAAATAAAAATTTTCAAAACTTCACAAAATGGCTTAAAATACCACGCCACCACTTTTATGAAATTTAAATTTTTTGAGGTGCTAAAAAATAAAAAATAAAATAAAAATTTCAAAACTTCATAGAATGGCTTAGAATATCAGAACCACCCACTTTGAGTAAAATTTAAATTTTAAGGGTGCCCAAAAAATTAAAAAATTAAAAAATTCAAAACTTACAAAATGGCTAATACGTACCCACTTTGAGTGAAATTTAAATTTTTTAGGTGCCAAAAAAAATTTAAAAAATCAAAAAAATCAAAACTTTACGAATGGCTTATAATACATGTGGCCACCACTTTGAGTAAAATTTAATTTTTTTAGGTGCAAAAAAATCAACAAATCAAAATAGATTTCGTTCCCGAAATCAATTTCTGGAAGCGAATTAGTCATGTTTTACCAAACAGATTTCTCCTCCAAAATCAATTTCAAGAAATTCAGAAATCAATTTCTTGCAAGAATTTGATTTACGGAGTAGAATTTCGCCATTTGCACCCAAGATAATGCAGTCTCCTCAAGGCTTGGATTACTACAGCCATTACATTATCCTTATTCTCCTCCGAGAAAACTCCCAAATAGAAACGCCCAAGAATATTAGTACAACGTCCACAGTTGTCCACATCATACCCAAAATCTCATTCCCTATTTTTCGCTATTACACCTTATCTTATAAAGGAAAAATGACATAAATAATCCATTAACATTATTTCAATGTACAATGTCGTCTTTAAACTTTTAATTTGTTCAATACGGTCCTTTAACTTTGGTCCATTGAGTAACATCGTTTCCGAACTTTTAATTCATTTAATTTGATCATTGAACTTTAGTACAATGTTCAATATGATTCATGAATTTTCAAACATTTTCATATAGTTTAGGAACCGCATTAAACATTTACCAATAATTTAAGGATCATATAGAATAAATTAAAAATTTCAGGGTGGTATGGCACATTAGGCCAAAGTTCAAGGATCACATTGCATGAAATAAAAGCTTAGGGATGATATTGTAGCAGAAGTCCTAAAACTTGTCACAAAAGTGCAATTGAGTCCTAAAACTTACAAAATGTGCAATCAAGTTCTAAAATTGGTCAAATTGGTTCAATCGAATCATAAAGTTAACGCCGTTTAATTTATTAATGGAAAATGCTGACGTGGCACTGACGCATTTTATTTTATTAATTTTCGTGAGATAAGTGGCGTTCAACAAGCGCCACGTCATAAAAATTTAAAAAATATAAATTAAATTAGAAAAAAGCTATACAAAATTTTTTAAAAAAAAGAAAAAAAGGAAAGAAAAAGCCACAACCAGAGGTGGGTTTTTTTTCCTTTTTTTAAAATTTTTTAGAGCTTTTTGCTAATTTAATTTATATTTTTTAAACTTTTTCTGACATGTCGCTTGTTGGATGTCACACCATTGGCACATGTCTCAAGAAAATTAATAAAATAAGACACTTCAAAGCCACGTCAGCATTTTCCGTTAGTGAATTAGACAGTGTTAACTTTGGGACTCGATTGAACCAATTTGACAAGTTTTAGGACTCGTTTGCACCTTTCACAAGTTTTAGGATTTAATTGCACTTTTATAACAAGTTTTAGGACTTCTATTGAACATATCTCAATAAAAATTTAGAGATTATATTTGTGCTATTATACCTATGAAGAAACTGCAGCAAATAAGGAAAACAAAAAAGAGAAACAAGAAAACCAAAAAGAGAAAGAAAAATCCTCCTTTTCCATGTGAACCTTGAGACAACCCCTTCTTCCTCTCATTACCTCAAAACCCTTAACAAGGAAAGTGAGAAATGGCGAAGAATCTTATAAAGAAAGAGTAATTTAGGGTGCGTATGTTTGAGGGATAGTATTTTCTCGGAATTAGTTTTGCGAACTTTCCCTTATTTGGTTCGCTAAAAATGATTAGCCAACGAAAACACTTTCCGGTTAGGGAAAATATTCATGCATAGAATTAGGAAATTGAATTCCTAAATATAAGAAGGTGAAAATATTTTCCGAAATTATTTCTCTCGAATTTTTTAATTTTTAATTTTATTTTTTCTTTTCCTTCTTTCTCCTTTGCCTGTCGCTAGGTCTTGGCGACAGGTGGCAATCGGCCACAGGCGAGATCGGCAAGCTCAAGACTCGCCATATCTCGGCGAGCTCCACCTTGCTCGAGGCTGGCCAGGTTGGCCCTTGACAGCCCTTGCTAGTGGCCTATCGCGGCCATTGCCGAGGCTTGGTCACAGAGGAGGAAGAAGGAAAAGAAAAAGGAAAAATAAAGAAAATAATTTTTTTGAAAATTTGAATATTTTTTTACTAAGATAGAATCATTAGATTCAAATCGTTTTTCGAATGAGATCCAAATACTAGAAAACGTTTTCGGTGACATATCACCAAACAAAGGAAAATTAACTATTTTTCTGAAAATAATTTCCCGAAAAATGTATTTTCTTATCATTTTTCTCCAAAGAAACGCATCCGCGTAAGGAAAATAAAAAAAAGAGAAACAGGAAAACCAAACGGAGAAAAACAAGATTCTCCTTCTCCCCATGAAACCCTGAGACCCTTCTTCAGTTCTTATAAAAAAAAAGAAATTGACAAATTACAAGGTGCATGATCTCGATTTGCTTTTACATTGTCCTTATCCGCTGAGGGAACTCCCAAAAAAAATCGCCCAAGAACAAGCCCACATCACGCCCAAGAACAAGGAAAGAGGAAAATGGGAAATAATCTTTATAAAGAAACCGAAACAAATAGGGAAAACCAAAAAGAGAAAATCCAAAAGGAGAAAAAAAAATGTCCTCCTTTACCCTTTAAAACCCCGAGACAAATCAATCCTTCTTCTCACTACCTCAAAACCCAAGCACAAGGAAAGATAAAAAAAAAATGGCAAAGAAAGAGATGGGAGTCGTGAAGGGACTCTTCCTTTTTGTCCCGCTGCTCTCTTCTATGTTCATGTGTGTGCTGTGCGTACGGGAATTGAACTTTGGACTCGACCCCTTTTACCAGCTAGACAGCGTGCCTTCGGTCGTGAAGGATTTTGATTTAAAGAGATACTCGGGACGTTGGTACGAGATCGCCGCCTTCTCGTCGTTCTTTGAGGCCAGGAATGCCGTGGACACGAGGGCCACATACACTCTGAAGGAGGATGGGACCTTGGATGTGTTGAACGAGGGCTGGGTCAATGGCAAGAGGGAGTACATTAGGGGCACTGCCTACAAGGCTGACCCGAGCAGCAACGAGGCCAAGCTCAAAGTGAAATTCTATGTGCCTTCGTTCTTTGCCATCTTCCCCGCGATTGGGGACTACTGGGTCTTGTACATTGATGCTGATTATCAACATGCTGTCGTTGGTCAGCCCAGCAGGAAGTATCTTTGGGTATGCAACTTTCTTGTCAAGTTTCCTTAGCTTTTTTCTTGATTTTTTCCCGTCGGAGACAGTTAAATTAGACCTATCAAACGGGTTAAGAAATGGGTTTATGACCCATTTTGACATGTCTAATTAGAATGGATAGTTTCTTGTTTTGTGAGTGATGGTTCCTCGGGCAGTTTGTCTGAATTGTGATTTGGGTCCTATTTCTTTTTTCTTTTGATTCTTTCACTTTTTTATTGGCTAATCGGTGGGATTTTTGTTTTTGCAGATTATAAGCAGAAAGAGTCATATAGATGATAAAATCTATAATCAGCTGGTTCAGAAGGCTGTTGATGAAGGGTATGATGTGAGCAAGCTCCACAAAACTCCACAGAGTGACGCACATCCGCCGCTATAAGAAGGATCCAAGGAGGACGGCAAAGCCATTTGGTGGATCAAGTCCGTCCTAGGGAAATTGGGAAACTTAACTTTTACAGCAGCTTGATGAAGATGATGTTGAAATTATATGCTGTCAATAAATAATAAAGAGAAGAAGTATTTGGATATGAAAGAAGTTATTAATGAAATGAAGAGAATAGATTGTCACACCTTAACTCCCACAAGAATCAGAGAATCACATTGTCATCCTTCCACCCCGAGATACGTAGTCCCAAACACAAATCAATATCGACTTAGAAATCTCATATATATCCAAATCGAAGAACTTAGAAACTATTTAAGATGAATGGTACGAGCAATCACACAGCAAGCACTGCCCAGCGAGTAGTACATAACTCTTTTAAGTAGATGGAGCATCTAATATGTGCATTTATAAAACAATATCAGAACACACTTGTTTCTAATCTAGTATATGATACACTTACAAGATCAAATGAGTCATATCACTTTAATATAATCATATACATATAAGAAATATTCATTCAATCAACAAATATCGGAACAAATATCAATTGTCCAGTTTATTTATTAATTTCTTGCTCAATATCCAATCATGGTCATGACAAAACGCAAGGTAACAAGGCGGCCAAGATCCCCCTCACAATATCCTCACATATTATTAGCCGGTAGCTCAGCCAAAAAGGTTATCTTAAAACCAGTATGTATATCCAGAAACCACTAACTAGGTTCACATCGATAATGATCATGAAACCATAATCGTCCAATAATCGACAAATCAAATCCAAAATCCATTTTCTGCGTCAGAGTACATTTTACAAACCATTTCAAAATTGATTTCCTAAATCGGGTTCAAACTTAGAACATATATTACATTTTCTAACACGTTTCTCAAATCATTTCTTAAATCATTCACAAAGGACCAAATAGTAGTAAATGCTCAATCCAGATTTTATGCAAAAAACATATATTTAATAACTCATGATATATCGAATCTCCATAACTTTCAAGACACGAGTTTACGAATTTAAAGAAGAAATAAGCACCACTCACTTGAAAATTTTTAAAACAAACCATGAAAGTTATTTCAAGCCGACAAATTTAAAATCCTATCAATTTAGTGGAAAACAATATCAAAATCAAGTAAAATGGTTACCCAACTACAAACCGACTAAATTAAGCTTATTCGACAACAAAATGACTTATATGCGCTAACAAAATGTTCATGCAAAACAAATATTCAAAACTGTCCACAGCGTGGAGTTTGCGCTCAAAACTATACAAAATTGTTTCGATCAAATCGTAATTCGGAATTAATTTCCCTCTAACCCCTATGGCTCCACAACACACTAAATTATCATTTCCATAAAAATTCACAATTTAACAACTCGTAAATTGAACATCGCAATTCAAAATTTACATAACTTCAAATTTGTAATTTAACTCCAAAATTTTCTCTGATTAAATGAACAAATGGCTTAAATCCTTATCGTGCGTTGCGAAATGTAGTTGTTAATCAAACTCGTCAAGAAGTTTGAAATGCACTTGCACTTTCTATTCTCTGCTTTTTCTTTCTTATTCCCCTTCTCTTCTTGTTATTCTTACGGTCTCCCTCTCTCTCCTTTCGATCTTCTTAGTTATTTTTCTATGTTTTCATCTTCAGGCGGTGAAGCTTTAAGGCCACAATTGAAGGGTTTTTGGGATGGGCATTGGGCCCATTATGTTGATCATGAAAAGTAGTGATGGTTCCGATAAGGTACATATTACCAATAGATGTTATTGAAATGATAAGAAATAGAGGTTGATCATGAAAAGTGGCGATGATTCCAATGGGACAAGAGATGAAATATTTGATTATCTAAAACTAGGACCAGATAACACATTTTTCATAGTAACAACTTTCTCTTCTTCATGGCTCTCTCTTCTTCACAACATTCTCTTTCTTCATAATTTTTTATTCTTCTCTTTTCTTACACAAGCTTGACACACAGTCTCTTGGACATCAACAAAGCAAACATGTATTTGTTACTAAATTTATAGCACTACTGGCGGCTGGTAAAAAGGTTGAATGGCTACGAAATATGCTATCAGATATAGGGTTCTGGCCACAACTAATGACAGCCATATAGAATGAAAAATCTAGACATATTAGTTTATGACATGAGTATGTTCGACAATTAATTACTAATAGAATTATTTCAATAATTTATGTTTAGACATATAATAACTTAGCTGATCCATTCACTAAAAAACACAATTCGCGGATAGTTTTGAGATGATCCGACCAAATTAGCTATGCATTTTATCGTGCTTTACATCAATGAAGTAAATTGCGAATCCTGCTTTGCTTAATCTTCGAGTGTTTGAAATGTAAGGCTTGTCGCGACCGACCTCCCGCTCTCTTTTTTTTTTTTTATCGCACATGCAAAGAAGGGGGTTTCGCCTGGTACGTGCTAAGTCTAGGTTCGGGACTTAACTCGGGCTCTCCCAAGCTCATACCATATCGCGACTTAGGGTTTAAGTTTTTAACATGCAAGTGGTTTATATCAAAGAGTCGCCACTAATCGATTTGGGGTGGGTCGATTTGAAACCCAAATAGGGTGATGAGAGAATCGCCCTATTCCTACGAACCAGAGATTAAATGAGTTCCGGGACTTGGTTACACTAGTTGGATAACTAATGCCATTTCGGCACCTTTTTACCCTGTTCATTTCTGAAAATATTTGTCAGGTAATTTGGATTGATTTTTTGACCTTTCTCCTAATAGGTGAGGTAGTCAAACGAGTGCATAATCATAAACGATTAGCAGTTAAAATAGATATGCAACCTAAGGTTCTAATCCTAACTAAGTTAGATGACATTAAAAAATACAACAATTCATGAAATTATTTTTTAATTAAAAACATGCATAATAATAACGCAATGGTAATAGAAATAACATGCAAAATACTACCGCGCAATCTCATAGGCTTGTCTAAATTAAACATAGCAATTTATGAAATTATAAAAACATGCATAATAATACAATAAATTGAAACATTCAGATATACTACGTAATTAAAAAAAAAAGTAAATACGGAAGAAAAAGAAGAAAAAAAAAACGGTTTTTTTTAATTTTAAATTTTTTTTAAAAAATAAAATAATAATAAAAATAATAATATAATATTAAAACCGGGTAGGGTCGCGGATCCGAGTCGGATTCAACCCGGGTCAATGGATCCGACCCAAGTCGTTGACCCGGGTCGGATCTCCGGATCCGAACTGGGTCAGGGTCAACCTGGGTCGTTGACCCGGGTCTTGAACCGGATCGGGCTCCTCGCCCGACCCGGATTTTCCCCCTTCACAGACCCGGTTTCTTCCCCTGTTTTAGAGCTTCGCTCGGCCGGGCAGAAATCCGGCGATTTGCTGCCCGGGCCATTGGTCCCTATCTCCTCAGTACCTCAAGCTGAAGATATTGGGGGCGACGGCTCACCGGACGGCTGATCGGAGCGGTCGCCGGTCAAGCTCCGATCGGGGCTCGTTGAGCCCAAACGTCGGTCGGAACTTGGCCAGTCGACCTAGGTCATACTTTGACCTGTTCTGGCTTCCAATGGTCGTCACAAAGTCGATCAAAGGGCTCAAAGGTCGCCGGACAGCCTGTACATCGCCGGCCGAGGATCGTCTCAAACGGACTTCACGTGGGCATTTCGTCGAACACGTAGAGTGCATGACCTAAACAGGGGAGTTTTGACCTATTCCGAGGTTCCGAGTGCTGCTCCGACGACCATGGCTCGCTCCCGACGGCGATTATTGACCGGGAGGAGGATCGGTATGGGCGGGATTAGCGCGCTAACGGCCGGCGCGAGTCCCGGCCAACCTGCGCTTGAAAACAGGGGAAAGCAGGGTACAAAAAAGGGCGAGAAGAACCTACTGGTCGGGGGGGTGCTTCCGGGAGTCGCCGGTCGGCTTGATGGCGACGATGAGGCCGGCTGGCTTCCCTATTCAACCTGCGAACACTCAGCTCTCACAATTTCTCTCAAAATCTCTCCCAATCTCTCGGTTTCTTTTTGTCTCTTCTCTCTCTATTTTTTTTGTTCAGAACCGCCCTCGCTCGGCGGCCGGAGGTTATGCGCAACGGCGAGGCTAACTGAGGCTCCCTCTTCACTCTGTCTTCTCTCGAATTCGCTCAATTTCTCCGGGTCTGTCTCTCACGGCCTCTCTGTTCTTGCTCACCAACGAACCAGCCCAGCCGACCTCCTCTCTCTCTCTCCTCTCGCTGGCTGTATAGCCGACGGAGGCCACCTGCTCCTGCCCCCAAAGTCGTGGCCTTAATGGCTCTGCACCGGCCACGACTTTGGTGGCCATGGCCGTGTGGTGGAGCGGTTTTTCCGCGTCGTCCCGGGCGCGGTCGGGACGGGGAGAATAGAGAAGCGGGGGGAGAGAGGGGACAGCCGAGCCGAAGAAGAAGAAGAAGAAAGAAGAAGTGGGTGGGCCGAGCCCAGCTCGCGGGAAGAGGAAAGAAAAGAGAAAGGCGGGTGGGCCGCAGCGGGAGGAAAAAGGAAAAGAAAAGAGTGGGGTCGGCCCGGCCCCGACCCTGCCCAACTCAAATTTTTTTTTTAATTTTGAATTTTTTTTAAAATTAAAAAAAAACTCTAATAGACCCTATTAATACAAATGTGCCTAATTTCTATATGCAATGCATTTAAATTGAAATATATATATTTTTTTAGGAATTAAAGAAAATTAACTCCTAAATTTGTGCAATTAATTTTGGGCAAATTAAAAATAGGTCTCAACAGCTGCCTCTTTTTGAAGGTGAGCTCGCAGAGGTTGATCTCGTAGAGGTTACATTCAAAGATAAAATGACACCTAAATTTGGCACATGCATGCTCAATGAATGTTATTTTTGGCGAGACCGTGAGTCCCATTTTTTTTTTTTATGATGTGATAAGATGATGCGTGCTAAAGCAAATAAAAACATACATGGGGCTACTTACTTTGCCGAAGGGTAAAGTAATTCCAGATAGTTGATATTGTGTGTCGAGGACCCGAACCTTTCTTCAGTCGCCTTAACGGGGGAAATGGTTTGTCTAAGACCCGAACCTATCTTTGATCGCCTTGATGAGGATTACTTTTGT